AGTGTCCACTGGACACCCAGGTATTTTACGTGCTCTGCCCAGTGCATGTATGTGTCGCCATATTTTATTCTCTCTGGGATGGTTCTGCCCCCTTTAGACAGAATTATAGCTTGGTTTTTGCTCTGGATTTATCTTGATCCTCCACTGATCAGCCCAATCTTCTAGCCTGTCTACTGCTTGTTGGAGCCATCTATGAATAACATCATCTCTACGATGGGTAACATAGAGGGCGGTATCATCTGCATAGAGCGCATAGTTGACCTGCTCCATGCGTGGTAGGTCTGCGGTGTATAGGTTGAACAAGGAGGGGCCGGGAACTGAGCCCTGGGGGACGCCAGCTAGGATTTTCTTAGTTCTCGAGGTTTGGTCTCCTATCTTCACACTGAATGTCCTGTTTTGTAAGTACGACAGGGTCATTTTTATAAGTTCTGGGTTGATGTTGTGGTTGCACATTTTGGCTATGAGTCCTTTGTGCCAGACCTTATCAAAAGCTTTGGCTAGGTCCATGAGGACCATTCCAGTCTTCATTTTGTTATCCAATCCAGCTTGCACTGACTCGAGGATTCGCATTAGTTGTAGGTCAGTTGAGAGTTTCCTTCTGAACCCAAATTGCTCTTTTGGTAGGTTGTTAAGTTCATCAATTTCCTCCTCGAGTCGTATTTTTATGATTCTCTCGCAAAGCTTACCCGTTGTTGACAATAGGGAAATAGGCCTGTAGTTTGAGGGGAAAATGACGTTATTGGTGCCTTTGGGAATCATAATCACAGAGGCATTTTTTCATGGTTCTGGGAAATGGGACAGTTGCAAAGCTGAATTGATGATGTTTACCAGAAGAGTGGTTGTCTGGTCAGGAAGAAGTTTTAACGCTTTATTGGGAATGCGGTCCTCACCCGGGGCTGCCTTTTTCTCAAGGGCTGTTATGACTGACTTTACTTCGTCTTTGGTCGTGAGTCTTATGTTGGCGAGGGGGGGAGCTTCTTTGATGTACTCATACGCTTCCCTGACTGCCCTATTTTCTTCTAGGTAGACGTCTGAGGCAGGATGGGGTGTAAACTGGTCCTCCAGGAGATTGGCAAAGATTTCAGCTTTTTCCTCGTCTGGGTATACCATGCCGTTGGGCCCGTGAAGGGGATGAGTCGTCCTTTTTGTTTGTTTTCCTAGTGTCTTGATGACTCTCCAAAAGTTCGGTCATTCACAGACTACTTTAAGCGGAATTTATATATTGCCTTCCTTTCTTCCTCTCATACAAATTAATTTCGCCCGTGCATAAATATTTTTTGCAGAAACTAATTTTATAGATTTTTTTAACAAAAATATTCAAAATTTATGTACAAGAAAGAATTGATGACACAACTTCAAATTTTGAAAACGAAAATCGATATAGTTTTTTCGAAAAAATATCAATCCACCGTCCAACTTCGATGTTCGTGCTGTGCAAACAATAATTAACATTCGCAATAATTTTTTTATCAAGGCGATATATTAAAAAAATAAAAGTCTATTTTTACAAATGTTTACCTACTTAGGTTTAAACTGGTTTGCGTTCTTAAATTATGTTTTACCACGCACCATGTGATGTGGCTGTGAGATTTTCTTTTGCCTCTGCCTTCGCCGATTTTTTTCAGGTGCCTGATCAGGAATATCTTCCTCAAGGTTTTGAGGAAGATCTTCTTGTGTATTGTAAGTAAGATTTTCATCCCTTAATTGTGGATACAACTGCCTAACACCATTATTTGCAAATGTTTGTGTTGTAGTATTCCTCTATAATAGGTAACGTGCCTTTTCTTTGTTTTATCCGCTCGGCCCTCGTCGATGGCCCTCCTAACATCGCGGTATAGGAAATGGTGCCGCTTTTCTTCTTCTATGGAATAAATAAAATCTATGATATTATTAAAACTAGCCAAACATCGGTGAATCTTGGCAATTGAATTTAAGTTTGTGGCACCATTCCCTATACCGCGATGTTAGAAGGGCCATCGACGAGGGCCGAGCGGATAAAACAAAGAAAAAGCACGTTACCTATTATAGAGGAATACTACAACCCAAAAATTGGCTAAATAATGCTGTTAGGCAGTTGTATCCACAATAAAGACATGAAAATCTTACTTGCAATACACAAGAAGATCTTCCTACTCACAATACACAAAAAGATCTTCCTCAAAACCTTGAGGAAGATATTCCTGATCAGGCACCTGAAAAAAATCGGCGAAGGCAGAGGCAAAATAAAATCTCACAGCCACATCACATGAGATTGGTAAATTATAATTTAATGACGCAAACCAATTTAAACCTAAGTAAACATTAAATGTTTTAATTTTTAATTTTGTAAAAATAGACTTTTATTTTTTTAATATATCGCCTTGATAAAAAAATTATTGCGAATGTTAATTATTATTTGCACCTCACGAACATCGAAGTTGGACGGTGGATTGATATTTTTTCGAAAAAACTATGTATATCGATTTTCGTTTTCAAAATTTGAAGTTGTTTCATCAAGTCTTTCTTGTACATAAATCTTGAATAAATTTATGTACAAGAAAGACTTGATGGAACAACTTCAAGTTTTGGATTTTTGTTGTTTATTAATTCTATATAAATATATATATATATATATATATATTTATATATATATATATATATATATATATATATATATATATATTCTGCACAAGCTGAAATCCGTTCATCATATTTTTCGTTCAAGATGAGACCCGTTTGGAAAATCGAGATTCGAATTCGGATCTCATCTTGCATCGTGTGTATATTTTTGTCAAATGCTGTATTTTCTATCAAGAACATACTAAATGGATTTTCTAAACCATGGCTTCGTCCATTTTCTAGAACTGAACTACTGAACATGACCAAGAACATTGACCTCGCGAAAGGCCACTCCATGAACATCGGAAGTTGCTATTTCATCAAGTTCGTAGCCAATGTCTTCATCAGCACTGGAACTACTACTACTACAAGTAAACCATAGTTTGAACTTAATTTAAAAAATAAAAATGTTGATAAACCTAATATTCTTAACGAGTAATATCTTCTTCGGAATGATCCGGCACATTTCCGGAGTATTATTTGGGAATATCTCTAAAACAATCCTAGAGAATCCTTTACTAATATTCCCTGCTTATCTAGAATAATCCAGCGTATTCCCGGAGCATTTTTTAGGAATATGTCTAAAACAATCCTTAAGAATCCTTCAGGAATATTCTCTGCTTCACTGGAATAATCCGGCGCATTTCAGGAGCATTTTTTGGGAATATGTCTGAAACAATCTTTAAAGGCTACACAACATTTAAATGTAAAAAATATTACTATTTTCATTGAAATTATTATGGATCGCGGTATGCGTACTGTTATCCAAACTTTTCCTAAAATAAAAAGACAAAAATAAATGTTATAATAACATATTAACCTAATATTATCCGCTTATAATGTAGGTTCACCACCTTTTACTTTTTGTTTACCTAGAGAACCATAAACTCAAAAAAATGGTTGACGATTTCGCAATTCAAATATTTATTTAAGTATTGTAAAATTCTATACTATAGGTCCTATAGTTTAAGTGCCCTCCTGAAAAAATTGGTGTATTTAAAAATACCTTAAATAGCTTTAAGGCTGTTTATAAACGTAACTGGCAAGCCTGTAGAAGGATAGAAAGACGTTTCCTGGAAAAGCATTAAGAATGGCTAAAAGAAGAAATTTCATTTACAGCCGCCCTAGTCTCTGGAACTTCCATAGGCCGCCCAAGTGAAGAATTCAGCGATACGAGGTAATCCATCAGGCCAATAGGGATATATATATATATATATATATACATTAGGGTGGATCGTTTAGTATACGAAAAAGAAAAAAATCTCGATATCAAAATCGGCCAGTGTGGAAAAGTTGCTCCATAAAGTACACATTCTAAATAACAAAAAAAAAAAATAAAGAAAAATATGTATTTTTATTAGTGCCCCAAGGGGTATAAATTTTTATAAAAAAGTAAAAATTTACAGTTTTTTTTTGTTGTATGGTTTATAACTAATAGTTTATAGAAAAATTAAGTCAATCAATATGAGAAAAGTTTTTGTTAACCTTTGGAGTGCATTGTTGTGGTCAATATGACCCCAACGATCCTTGTATGCAATTTTTAAGTATAAATCGTATCAGTGAAAAAATCATAGTTCGTAAAATATTTTAATCGAAAATTTGCATTATTTTTCACTTACTGGAAATGCGAATTTGTATAAAGTAAATACTAATAAGATGTCACAGGTATCGTTTTTCGAATTCAAGAATTTGACAAAAACGGTACCTGTGACATCTTATTAGTTTTTACCTTTTCCAAAATTCTTGTTTCAAGTATTTTCCAAAATTGATACCTTAGCACAATTAATATTTAATTAATTAATAATTTACATGTTATTACCTAGTATTTTTGTATAAAACTCCACTTTAAAGGCTCAATTGTTAATTGTTGTTTTACGTAGTGATTTATGTCATATATTTGGTCATGGACGGGACTTACTACAATCTAATTTACCAACTTACCAATTCATCATGTTATGTTTCTTTTGGATTACTCGAAATAAACCAAAGCAGTCAGTCAGTGACAATTGTTTCGAAGTCTCCAAAAAAGTTATAAAGCAGTGGAAATTGGCTTCTATTCCAACAATTGACCTCCGTGCTGTTGTTAAAAAAAATGAAAGCATATCACGATAAATATCGAAAGTTATTAAAACCGTGTGCATCAAGAAAAGAGATTGAAACCTACCGACAAAGAATTGCGCAATTCCAAGAAAAAGCCAAGACTCTTTTCGATATAGCATCCTGTAAATGTAAAAGTTTTGATCGGTGTTACTGTAAAAAGTCTCTAAAGGTGAAGGTATTAGAAAAGAATTTCTTGCTCTATCAACGCACCAACCGAAAAATGACTATAGGCAACGTAGACGTGAAGTTATATAACAAACTTAACAGAAAACGAAAACTAGAAGAATTTTAATAAAAACACAATGCATCTATTCCATCAACCAGTTTATGCTCAGTTTATGCTCCACCCTATCCATTCAACTAGTAAATGCCCAATGAGCAATATTCCTGAAGATGAGTTGGAAATATCACAGAATTCCCAGGTATTTCAAAAACTTAATGACCTTTCAGCAGTTGCCAAAACATTAGATAGGTTTGGGGTTTCTAACAGAGCTGGAGCAGCAATTGTGTCAGCCACATTGCAAACTGTTGGCCTTATTTCTGAAGACAATCTATCCAACGTTGTAGATAGTAGAAACAAGATTAGACGTGCTCGTGAAAAACAAAGAAATTCTTTAGCTGACGTCCATTTACTTTCAGAAAATGGCAATTTTGGACTGTATTTTGATGGGCGTAAGGACAAAACTTTAACAATGGTGGACTCGAGAAAAAAATTTATACTAGAAGAACACATTAGCTTGGTTAAAGAACCAGGCTCCGAATACATGGGCCATGGGTGTTTACAGTTTAAGCATATCGACTGGCATAAACTTATTGTAGTTGGGTCCGACGGAACTGTCGTTAATACAGGTAGGAAAGGAGGAACCATACGATATCTGGAAATTAAGTTGAAAAGGCCGCGGCCTGACAAATACACCATTGCAACGGCCGGCCGTTGCAATGGTGTATTTGTCATTTGCATGCGAACGAGCTTCCGTTGCGTCATCTGTTCGAGTTTCTCGATGGTACTACTAGTGGACCTCGAAGCTGTACAGGACCTATAGGCAAAGCTTTAAATTATTGTGAGCAACTTCCTCTCGTGCTATTTAAAATTATTGACTGTGTTCTGCCTGATGTAACGAATACAAAAGATTTAAGCACAGATCAACTCTGCCAGACAACTTAAAAGAAATTACTGATCCAGTGATTCAAAGAAATGGATTTTTTGGGCATGCTGAAAATATATTGGTTGCTATGTTAGTAGATGAAAATGAGGAAGTCAGGAAATTAGCCTTGCGAAGAATTCTAAAGGCTCGAAAATTACAAGCTCTGTCATCCAGTATTTGCAGTTTTGTGCCTAGAATTGCTAACTTCCCTATTCACACTCAGGATACTTAACCGGGTTGCCTATATTTTTATTCAGTGTTTTAAATTAAATATATTTCTTTGTTTTCCTTCATTTCCACCATAACCTCAACTTTGCTCGGATCGACATGTAAATAATCTTGATGAAGTATTTTACCGATTTTGACGATATTTCCCGGATTTGACTAGCACGTATTATAATGTGTGTGCTTGGCCTTGACAGTTTTCCCTGCAAGATGGTAGGAATGACGCTTCACTTAAGCCAGATTAATTAATCTGTGAGTATTGTTAAAGTGCGTTAGGTTTGTTCCAACCTTTGTTTTTGCTTTTTAGGGCTTTTACCTTAAGGTTAACTTTTACCTTACGGCTAGCTTTACCAGACAGCCTGCTATTGCCTCACAGTTAGCTTTTACGAATAGTACAGCTACTGTGCCCTCATGATCTTGACTCGGCCTGACGCCACCTCCCTGATTTGACGACCTACAACCCACCGGAAAACCACACCGCTGCTTGTCTTCACAGAAGCCACCAGCCGGAGCAAGAAAAACTAACGCTCACTGGAGGATGTAAATTTGAGTATACTATTTAATTTCTTTTTAATCTCGACCTGTGTCGCATTACCACTTTTTGTTGCGGTTTTAAAGCCGACTTTACTTAAGCTTCACTTAACTCGAATGTGAACCGACGATACGTATCAAAGGCATGATTTTACAAGGTTTATGCACCAGTTCAGGTTCGATATTTGAGATTGACAAAATGTTTACGTAGCTTGATGCATTAAACTCGAATAGGTATACCTTTTTCTTTTCTTTAAATTTGCATACCTACTTTCAGCGTGTGAATCAGATTAGATTAAATGACCGGTCTAATTTTACAACTTACTTCAAAGGGTCATTTGGCGCCCACAAGGTAAGCTATTATACACTGACGCAATTACAATAATCTTTATACAGTGTTTTTGTTTTTTTTTATTTAGATACGTCAAGATTTATTTATGTTTTTTTTAAGAACCCACTTAACTTAAACCCTGCTCTCAACTGCATTAACCCAAAAGCTGCCGTACGCTTTCATAATGTGGAATAATAGCACGCTTCAAATGGTGCCCAACGTGTTTAAATGCCAACGTGTTAATTAACAGTTTACGCCAACGTTTTATAGTTTTTACTGACAGTGTCTTAATCAAAATTTTCTTTATAGTAAATTTTTCTTTAAGTTCAGGGGGAATTAAGAATTTTTGTTTTTATGATTCTTGTGGTTTTGAGTGAACAGTAGTTTACAAAATAATTTCCTTTGGTTTTCCAAACCGGTGTTGTTCTAAGTGTCAAATTATTACCTTATTATCTCGACTTACCTATAAAGACAAGTATACTAGAAGTATCCTTGCCTAGCGACTCGTTGTACGCGAAGTATAACCTTGATTTTGACTTACCTACATAAATACGACTATACACAAAGTTTACCTACGTATATTGCGACGTTATACAAGAAGTATAACTTTACCTAATCACTACAGTGATATAACCTTACCTTGCGCGCGCTTTAATTCGCGATTTACCTTTGTTTTTATCATAGCATCTCTCGAAAAAGTAGAATTTCATGCCTAACACAGTTTTACCTTACCTTGCCCTTTTTGTATGAACACTTGGAGATCAGTTTTTTTAAATGTGGAAGAGCAGACACTTTAGTCTGAACTCTGCCTTTGACAAACTGTCATCTATTCTTTAGTGTTCATAGAATATTATTTTGTATACTTATGTAAAACAGTTTGCCAATAAAAGCATTTATTATTATTATTATTAAATTCCTTGCTTTTCTCTCTGATAGAAATATACCCTTTCAACATGGCGGTCATGAAGCCAAACTATCTTTTAGCCGACGAAATTAATTACGAGTTGAGAATTCGGGGTTGCGAATCTTCCAAGAAAGATGCCGCAGCGAAGCGGAAAATTTTAACTAGACTTTTAAGGAAAACTGATGAGCATGCGGTCCTGGTTGACCCTTTGTACAATTTTGATTCGGAAAAAAACATTCATTGATTCTACCCTTGAAGCTCTTAAGGCTTTAGTCTCCGATTTTGAAGGTCCAACTTCTGACTCTATGTATAAGAGAATTGAGACGCGTTTATTACATATTGCTGGCCGTATTGGCAGGATTGTAGTTCCCGAAGGGGATAAAGACGCGTTAGAGTACAAGAATAAGTCTCATGCCACTTGCATAGATTTAGAGGCTGAACTGAAAAAAAAGGTTCAACCAGATCCCGCGGAGGTTTTTCACTGAACAGTAAATTCGGCTAGTACTACGTGTCAGAACACTTCATTGCCTCAGCCTGTAGCTTGTCACAGTAAGAATTCAGTCTCGGTTTATAAGTGGATCTTGAAATTTAATGGAGTTTCCATGTCTGTAAATTCTTTTCTCGATAGAGTGGAGGAGTTGTCAATAGCGCGTAATGTTGATAAAACTATTCTGTTCAATTCAGCTATTGATCTGTTTTCCGACAGTGCTTTAATCTGGTTTAGACAGGTTAAGAAAAATTAAAATAACTGGGAAGACCTCGTTAAGAAACTTAAGTCTGATTACCTACCTTCGAATTACAATGACAAGCTATGGGATGAGATAAAGTTGCGGAAACAGGGACGAAACGAGTCGGCAATAGCGTATATTTCTATCATGGAGAATCTTTTTGGGCACTTGGAGAATCTACCAGATTTTACCAGGTTGAAAATCATTAGGCAGAATCTTTTACCACACTATATATCTGTGTTGGCATTACAAGATGTTAACGACTTAGATCACCTAATTACCTTATGTAAAAATATTGATGAAGCGTTTCAGTTGAGAAAAAGCTACGTAGCACCTGCTAAGTCAGTAAATTTACTTGAGCCAGAACTGGCATATGTTGATGATCGTTTGTCGTCACCTCCCGAAGGGGTTTGTACTAGTAAATTTAATTCCAGTAGAGTTAAGTGTTTCAACTGTAACGCACAGGGTCATATATATATAGAGAGTGTCGGAAACCTCGTGACAAGTTCTGTTTTAGGTGTGGTAATAAGAATCATACTGTCCGCACGTGCCCCAAGTGCTCAAACAAATCTCCAAATGTCACCCCTACTCCAAAAAACGAGTAAAGGGCACCTGTACCTTCGGCAAGCGCAGGAATTCCCGTTTATCGCCAAATAACCTTAATATTGTTAAGCTACCTAGTTTTCGAAACGTCGGTTCTGGAAGAGTTCCGCCCAAATCGAATTTCTTTGATATCAATGACTGGAGGCAGTGGCTTCGAACGGTAAAAGAGTTTTATTTTGTATCTCTCAATACACCTCAGGTTTCTCCCATGTTGGTCAGTAAATTAAATGATAATAGACCTTACATTATTGTTTCTTTGTATGGCCAAGATATTACCGTTTTGTTGGACTCTGGCTGTAATCAGAGTGTAGTTGGTAACACAGGCTTAAAACTGTTAAGAAAGAATAAAGTCAAATTTCATTTTTCTAGTGCCAAGTACGTAATCACTGCCGATGGCGCAAAACAGCGGATTTGTGGTTACGCTTACTTACCCATTCACCTTTTGACGTTTTTAAAATCATAAAAGTTTTAATAGTTCCATCACTCCAGCACGACTTCATCTTTGGTAGTGACTTTTGTAAAATTTTTGGTATAACAATTAACTTTAATAATAATTTTTTGATATAAAATTTAATAATATCTCTGTAAATGCAGTATCTAAATTAGAAGTAAATTCAATTGATATAACGTTTTAACACCTTCTGAAGAAGTTATCAAACAAAAAGTCGTAGTTTCGTTTAACGAAATCAGTTCGGAAAAGGGTCTTGGTCGTACAAAGAAGTTGATACATCACATCGATACAGATGATCATAAGCCTTTTAAACAGCGTCAGTATTTAATGTCACCATACATGCTCGAGCACCTAAACAAAAAGCTTGACGAAATGTTAAGGCTGGGGGTAGTTAAACCATCTCAAAGTGCTTGGAATAGTGCGGTTTTTCTAGTAAAGAAGCCTAAAGGAAATGAATATCGGTTTGTTTTCGATGGGAGAAAACTTAATGAATTAACTAAGCCAGGCGCTTATATTTTACCTTATGTAGATAGAATTTTGAGCCTATTGAGAGATGCAAAATATATATCTAGTGTTGATTTGAGACACAGTTTTTGGCAAATTCCCTTAGATCTGGAATCCTCTTTTCAGTACCTGGTAGAGGTACGTTCTCATTTACAGTTTTACCTTTCGGTTTGAGTAATGCCGCACAGACGCAGCAGCGTTTAATGGACAGTATATTTGGTGCTGAGTTTGAGCCCTCTATCTTTTGTTATCTTGATGATATAATTATAATTTCTAAGACCTTTGAGGAACACGTAAATTTGTTATAAAAAGTTAAGAATAAACTAAAAGATGCTAATTTAACTATAAATCTTGAGAAATGTCAATTTTTTAGAAATTCTTTAAGATATTTAGGCTTCACCGTTGACTCACGTGGTTTAAGAACTAACCCTGACAAGGTTACTGCTATGGTAAATTTTCCCAGGCCTAAAACTTCTAGTGAGATCAAGAGATTTGTAGGCATGTGTGCTTGGTATAAACGTTTTGTTCCTCAATTTTCTACTACTGTCACCTATTAACGACCTTTTTAAAGGCAAGCGCAAGCAACAAAAGATAGAATGGAATGATCAGGCTGAAAAAGCC